GTATGTCCCGAGGACTGGTTTCTGTCAGTGGATCTGAAAGATGTTTACTTTCCCATTACAGCAGACATGCTGTCCTGGGACAATGTAGCTCCAGGAGAATGGAGACTACATCCCCAAACGGTTCAAATGATGTGGTCTGTCTTTGGGAAGGCAGAGGTGGACCTCTTCGCCTCAGAAGACAACTTTCACTGCCCAAACTACTTTTCGAGACAGCAAAATGCCCTGGTCCAAGATTGGCCCAGCGCTCGCCTGTACACCTTCCCCCGGTTGCCCACAGGTCATCAGACGGGTCATGGAAGTCAGTTGCTCAGTCCTCCTGGTGGCCCCACTCTGGAGGAATCAGATGTGGTTCCCCGAGTTAATTCAGCTGCTATCGGCAGCCCGGCCTCCTTTTGGCTTTAGCGAGTGGGTTACCTGCAAGCACTGTCAGTGCTTCCTGTCTTGGAAGCACTGCCTAACGACTGTAGAGTTGTCCTCGAACCAAGACACGGCGTTTAGAGCACAAGTCATCACCCTTCTAGCGCTCCCCAATCCAGATGGTGATGGTGAGTCCCAATCTACTCTGCCCAGTTCGGGCTCTTAAAGTGTATGTCGAGCACTCTGGCCTGTTTAGACACTCAGAGCAGCGCCTTTGTATGCTTCAGAGGCCGCTCTAAAGGGCTGCAGGTTACGAAGCAGAGACTATTAACTATGCATCCACTATCGCTGGATAGTGGATGCAATAGCCTTGGCTTATGCCTCAGCGGGCTTGCAGTTCCCTATAGGTGTGAGGGCCCACTCCACCAGAGGAATGGCCTCTTCCTGGGCTTGGTCCAGCGGGATTTCTATTGGTGATATGGGTTATGTTATGTAGTCCTCAGCTTAAACGGCTTGGGTCTCATTATTGGCTCATGTTTACAGGAGCCCTCAGTACGAGTGCTCCAGGGCTGGGCTCGCAGAGCGGCTTGGTTCTGTACTTGCTTATAGCACGGTGCTATTGGACGCATTCCCCATAAGTGTGTCAATGCACCGGGAGAGACCATTCAAAAGGGAACGCTCCGGTTACTAACATAACCTCGGTTCCCTGAGATAAGGGAACGAGCGTTGCATAGGCTGCCGTGCTATAAGGCTGCACGCTAATCGATGACTGTCGCTTCAGTCAAAAGATTTGGACAAAATTGCGCTCAGTTCCGACTTATATGGAGGTCGGCTCCTCCCCTTTTGGCGGGTTGAAGCGCCATTGGTTCGTGCAGCTACACGAACGTGAACAAATCAGGCTTCAGTATTAGAGTAAACAGCAGTTTCCCCATAAGCATGTCAATGCAACGCTCGTTCCCTTATCTCAGGGAACCAAGGTTATGTTAGTAACTGGAGCGTTTGGTTGCCGTATTGGTTTCCCTGACAAACTGTGCAACAGCCACCTAGTGTTAGCAAGTCTTAATTACTGAAAACATGCCTAAACAGACCTTAGTCATGTTAGACACCATAATGAATTTAACACAGTTAAAAACAGGGGTGTGAAGGATAGATTTACAGTCTTTACAATGGCACGTCCTGTATCACGTCTGTCCTGTCCTGGATCACATCATTTTTGCTAATTCACAACTTTTTTATGACGTTTCTTCAACTAATCAATCGATAGCTTATGTTGTTAAAGAACAGTAAAATCCATTGAACTGTACTTCAATCCCTCACAGCCTCATTCCTGTGAAAAATTAAATATGATGTTACCCTGACTAAGGTCTATTATATCATCTACAAAACTGCATAAAGAGACAATCAGAGATAAAGACATCAGAATGTTTATAAAATTGTGCTGCACGTAAATGATTCAAAGCTTAATCATCATGCTGCATTGTTCTAAACAAATTAGAGATTGTGTGATTGTCATTCACTTTTACATTCTCTTTTTGGATGTGGAGTAGCCTAGGTGTTCATGAAGAAGATGAAAGTGTGATAACCCACTGCTGACATGATATTTCATTCTGTATAAAGGAAGGATTTATTGTCCTCTTGAGTGAAGATCATGCTGTCTCGTTCTGCTATTCACACACAAGGGCATTACTGAAATTCATGGGAACTGGCACTCAAATTTATGATTTTTACTGAGCCCAGTGAGTAGCTTACAAATCATAAGTTAGAAAGAGCCAGGAGGAAACTGGTCAGAGAGGCTACCAAGAGGCCTACAGCAACTCTGAAGCAGTTGCAGAAATTTATGACAGAGTGGTCATTGTGTGCATGTGACAACAATATCACAAATTCTCCACAAATGGGCTGGAGGGTTGCGAGAAAAAAGCCACTCCTCAAGAAAGGCCACATGCAGTCACGACTGAGATTTGCCAAAACACACCTTGAAAATTCTGAGGCAGATGAGACTAAAATTAAATTATTTGGCCTCAACACCAAACGATATGTCTGGCGGAAACCCAATACAGCTAACCATCTAAATAACAGCATTCCTACAGTAAAACGTGGAGGTGGTAATATCCTGTTATGGGGGTGTTTCTCTGCAGCAGGGTCTGGAACAGAAGAAGGTTTACCTTCCAACATGACAATGACCCAAAGCACACAGCAATACTGACCACACAGTGGTTGAAGGAGAAAAAGGTGAATGTCCTTGACTTGGCCTAGTCTGAGCCCAGACTTAAACCCTACTGAAAATCTGTGGAAAGACTTAAAGACTGCAGTCCACGAACGGTCACCATCAAATTTGATGTGCAAAGTTAGTATAGAGACATCCCAACAGACTAAAGGCTGTAATTAAAGCAAAAGGTGGTTCAACAAAATTCTGACAAAAGGGGGTGATCCTTTTTCCAACTCGGTGATTCTGGGGTTTTTTTTTCTGACATGTTGGTGTTATATCTTTCACTTGGATGAGTAAATACAACTGGATAAAACATATCCTTGCTGAATAAATGTATTAATTTATTTTTAAAATAATCTTACTACAGTAGTGTGATAGCCTGTGCAAATATGTAACGGCTATTATTGTTAACCACAACTAAAACTAAAACCATTAAAAAAAACACATTTATTTTCAATACTTTAAATAAAATAAACATTAACTGAAATAAAATAAAATAAAATATATATTTTTGTAAGTTGCCAAGGCATTTCTCTTTTTGGTATAAGTACTGAAATAACTCAAATTAATTAAAAATTTAAAAAATTATGTAGATATACATAGAAAAGACAAAAACACAACAAAATCACTGAAAGTTTAACTAAAATTAAAATGAAAACAAAAATAACATCTAATTAAAAATATGAACAAAAACTATAATATATAAATAAAACAACACAGCTAGTGACTTGCATATACATATAACATACCTCCATAGAGAATATTCAGAGTGTGACATGCTCTCAGAAAAAAAAAAAAAGCACAAATCATCCTCTATTTGTCCCTAAAGGGATCTGAACCCATGGTGTTCTGCAGTATCAGGTTGTGATGAGCGTGGCACCTGTCTGTGTCATGCACCTGTAAGGAATATTGTTAGTCCTACTTCAGTATCACCAAAACATATGCATGCAAACAACATTTCCACAGTTCTGTGACATTTCACGTTTGTTGATCCCGAGAGTCCTTCTTTTGAAAAGGTGAGGGTAACCGCTGAGATAGCATCTTGTGTGTGCATGTTTGGGGTCTTTCTCATAATAACTGAAATAACAGTGATCGGGCTATACTTGACCTTGGAATGGCAGGCAAACACAGATTTAAATGCAAGCACACAGTAATACACAGTGAACTTTAAATGAACAGTGTCTAATAAAAAATCTCTTTGGGGCTCATGTCCCTGTAAGCTTCATTTTGACACTTACACTTTCCTGAAGTCCTTTTCCCTCATTCTCAGTGACTGCTTGAGTCCCTTTAAGCAGTATATGATCTAAGTGAAATGAGTTATGTCTGAGTGTGTTGCAAGCAAGATAATAATTTTTTTTAAATGCCATCGATGACTTGATTGCAGCTGTCTGACTTTGTATACCATATGTACATGGTGACAAATATAGGCTAATAGTATTATGTGAAGAATGAATGGACACATTTAGTGTGCACTGTACTTTTTATAACATAAGAGTTGAACTTCTCTTTCCATCTATATCAAGCTGAATTTTTGTTGTCAAAAGTTGTCTTTTTTCTTTAATATTTTCAATGAATGGTTTTGTAAACACAAGCAAACCAAATATATGCATATATATGCACAACATCTTCATGCATATTTTCATGTTATTATCATGATTCTTTGCCCAGCCTTCTTGGTCAAGTTAAAGGAGATCATGATTATGTAATGTAGCTGAGTTGGAATCTGTACTGTTTCCACACACTTGAGTGAGCTTTAAGCAAATGTCACTGGACATAGAACTACCACTACAAAATACTGAATGGTAAACTGAATAAAACACAATATAGCCTAATAATTATGCTACACATTTAAATAATGGTTTTATCTTGTCAGCAACAAAATAGTTTATGCGAGCTGCTGAGTTTGAGAGTAACATCTGCATTATTCCCACTTAAATTTGAATAAGTAAACAGAAATGTTCAGTCAATATTTGATACCCAAGCCAACATATTTTGGACTGACAAAGGTCTATTTTATAGTGTAAATAAATTGCAATTAGATATCGTCCAATAGAGAAAAATTTATGGCCACGGTTAATTTTATCAAACCCAATCCCTGTCTGTCTCCATGGAGCTCCCGAGCACACTCGGCTCTTTCCTTAGGAGCGGTTTTTGCCGAAGACACTCGGCTCTTTCCTTAGGAGCGGTTTTTGCCGAAGACACTCGGCTCTTTCCTTAGGAGCGGTTTTTGCCGAAGACACTCTTCCCTATTATAGAGCGGTTAGTTATGAGGGTACTCGGCTTTTCCGATGTAGAGGGTTGATTGAAGCCGAAGTCTCTCGGCTATTTTCGTATCGAGAAACGATTAATGCCGAAGTTACTCGGCTCTTTCCGTACGGAGCCGCGATTGCAGCCGATTCCCCGCTCCGCGCTCGCGACTCTGGTACATCACTCATTTAGTGTTGTTTTGGTCTTGACCTATCCTACTTACAAGCTCTTTTCTCTCAAACAAGAAAATGGAAACCGCTAATCAGGTAGAAAATAGCGTTTGTGCATTTGGCAATATCAAATTGTGAGAAAGGTCTAAAATGTAGGCTACTGACATGTGCCTAATCAAACTACATGAAATGACGCTATTGATTATGTTAACTTGTTATTGCAGATTGTGTCACTTGGGACATTCCAAGTGCTTAAATTACCTTTGGGATTTATCCGCGTTCTGGAATGGGTAAGTGTGCGTAAAGCACGCGTTTTTCCTGTCAGCTTTTTCTAATTCTTGTTCCTTTACTTTTCTCAATTGGCTCAATAAACTTGGTCCAGGCATGGGGGAGTTTTACTATCTTTTATCACCATCATGTGCTGTAGTCAGTTTTGAATAAGTAGCCTATATGTGGCACAGCCATATTTATAATAGGACCCTTAATCCATTTGTGTATTTCTATTAGCCTATAGCCTAAGTAGAATCGGTATTGGGCATATTGAACGGATACCTTGCTTATCTAAGTTTTGATAACCATGTCATGTATTTTCAAACATGTAAATTACTCCTCATAAGTGTAAGTGACATTCTATTGATGTCATGATCAATCCCATATACATGAACGGAGGTGCTCGGGTTTATATAATGCACCAGCACTCAATTCATTTTATGGGATTTGCTAAAACTCACAATTTACTGCTGTAAAGAAGCAATTGGTAAATGTAAATAGATTAAATATTAATATGACCTCCAAACTTGATGTCTGAATTGAATGTAAACTGTAAATATATAATTAGTGATAGATAAGATTTAGCATTTTAGTCGAATCATTGCAGATGAGCTTTTTTTGCTTTCTGCACATGAGGTCTGTCCATGTATAAGAGAGCTGATGTGTTTTTTTGTTTTGTTTTTTAACATAAGAAGAGTTGTAGATATATGCTTTATTTGTTCCTTGTGTCTAATCCGATATTGGTGCAGTATGAATGAAGTGTACAGGGACGAGTTCATAACGTGTCACTTGTTTTATACTTTATAGCCATAAACATGGGTTAAATCGTTTTGTACATCCTGCTTGATGTATTAGGATCAATTAATCCTTTTCAATTAAAAAAAAAAAATGATTGGTGACTAAATGTCAGTATAGGATGTTTACATTTTTTTTTTTGTTTTAATGTAACCCTGTAACCATGTTACTAGAAATTACTATCCTGCTACTAATTATAGCCTCTAGTGTGAAAACAGCTAAAATGTGTTTTCTGATGAGTGTGGTTCAGGGAAGTGTGTGTTCGACTTGCCATGGTGTCACACTCTGGTGCTCTGACATAATCTGCTTGATGAGACTCTGTATCTGAAAGTTTCTGATCTCTGAGGACATGTCCAGCTTCTGTGTATGTGTGTCCATCTGTAAGGCTTTCTGCATTGTTAGTGCTGGTATGTGGATTTAGTGCCCTATCAGACACTTTGCACAACACAGCAGGATTCCCAGAAAGCAAAATGTTCAGGAAATAGTCTTTTAAAATGGGATGCTATCATTAGCACATGGCAAGACATTTGTACTGAGTGCTTGTAGCTACAGTATAAAAGTTAATTTACTGTGCTAAGAAAAAAAAAGACTTAAAGGGGACATATGATGCGATTTCATTTTTTCCTTTCTCTTTGGAGTGTTACAAGCTCTTAGTAAAGTTGCAAAGACTAAAGTCTCAAATCCAAAGAGATATTCTTTATAAAAGTTAAGAGTCAACCACGCCTACCTAAAACGGCTCGTTCTAAGACGCCCCCACATGTCTAAGTCACAATGTGGGAAGATTTGCATAATGTTCCCAAAACCAATAATAACCAAAAAAAAACAAATGTTCACGCAAAGAAAGTAGGTGTAACTTTTATTCTCGCTGTAGTATTGTTGTTGCTGCCGCCATGTCGTGAAGACGCTGTGTGTTTCGTTGTGAAAGCGAAACTACTTTGTTTGGCCTTCCAAAAGAGGACGATATCCGCTTCGTCATGCCTGGAGCTGATCCGTGCTGGTTGCTGAGGAAATACATTATCCTCGCGCTGTGGATCGCCGGATCGGCTTTCACCGTGGATTAAGCTGACGATTCAAACGCGAGTTTTGAGCAGTGTAGAGTAGCGCTTGTTGTTTGTCATTTCTCCGATCACAAATGCAGACATGGTTTTATGTTTACGCAGCACGATGCAACGCGTAAAAAGACAGTATATGTCATTATAATCCATAATTATGTCCCCACTGGATGCAGCAAATGCCTCGTTTATAATGGGTTTTAATGTTTTTGTCTCGTCGCTCCGGCTGGACAGGGCATCACAGTATGGTAGGGGCGTAACATTTCCGTCACACGCTTAAGGTATTCGGCCAATCACAACGCACTGGATAGCTGGCCAATCAGAGCACACTTCGCTTTTCAGACTGATGAGCTTTGTAAAAATCAACGTGTTTCAGAAAGGCGGGGCATAGAGGAGAAACAATAATGTACAGTATGTGAAAAATAATGTGTTTTTTGAACCTTTAACCGCATAAACACATTTCATTACACCAAATACACAAAATAATGTTCTTTTTAGCAGCATCATATGACCCCTTTAAAAAAACCTACTTGAAATGGCAAATTTATTGTGTTCTGACTTAGTACAGCCTGACTCACTAATAAAATTGCTTTCTCTTTCCCAGATGATAGAATAGAATAGAATAGAATAGAATAGAATAGAATTTTGGTCGAATGACTAATATCTTTTCATTTTACAGATATTTTATTTATTACATCAAAAACAGTATTTCTAAGCATTTCCAGTGCTGTACCTTGTTCTCAGCAAAGCAACTGCACAAAATCACAAGGTCAATTGCTAGACCCCTTTTCCGCCATCAAATGTATGGTGAGGTGAAAATGAAAACATTTACAACGGCAACCATAAATGGCTCTGAGCTATGCAAATGTGAGGCATGCATAAGTGGCAACACCATTTTGGATAATTATTGCAATTGAATGCTGGGGGATTGGAGGATGCGATGCATCTTCTCCTGAGGAAATTAATCTCCCCGCTCTCCATTTAAAGTGTCCTCTGGAAAAATAAAAAAGGAGAAGCTTATCACCGGGGAAGCATGCAGTCTTAATCACTTTTGGTCACACAGTGGCTTTTCTCTCTGTGTTTCTGTCTGTATCTCTCTCTTTCTCTCTCTCTCTGCAGGTCTTTGGTTTTGTCTCTGCCTCTGTAGTTTTTTTTTTAATTCCTGCACAGCTGTCCTCTTGATATTTGCCCTCTCTCATTCTCTTAAAAGCCATTATTTGTGATAATTAACCAATTATTGAGCTGTTGAAATGAGATGACTCAGTGAGACCAGTGACACATATTAAAATATGCAAAATTATGTATTTTTGGATGAATATTTATTATATTATAGTATATATTATATTATATTATATTTCTGAATTATTATATTATATTATATTATAATGACAAATACAATACAAATACTCAAAATATTAAATAATACACACTATAATTTGTTTACATAGGTAAGAAACCTTGAGAAAGATACATTAGTAAGCTTATGAAGACACTTTATAAAGTCAGTTTATTTGAAAAGTGCTTTGACCGATAGGCAGAATTTCAACAGAGATGACAGACCACTGAGAGACTGAGCAGACCACTGTGATTCACTGAGGTAAAGCTGACTGACAGGAGGTAGGGTGTTTTACAAATTCACAGAAGAAAAGTTGGTTGACTACATGGAGATGTCTGTCAGTGCAGTGGAAAGGTTGACTGACTGTGGGCAGATGTGCTTTGGCTGCCTGTGTGCAGATGTGCAGAAATTCATCTGTGAAAGGTTGGCTGTCTCTCCGTTTTTCGATCTTGAGTCTGCAATCGCATGAGGTGCCTGTTTCATGACCCACTTTTTTGTCACATGGATAAGACACAACAGCGGAAAGACTGAAGTGCTAAACCAAATTGAGACATAATGTCCAATTAAATATAACAAATAGTAGTATTACAGCTGTAAAACTATAACATCTTCTGGTAAAATCATAGAATAACCAGTTCTTTTACATGATTTGTGATCAGTTTATGACAAAAGCCAGAGCTACCAGTGTCAACACATAAGCTCCAACCTAGATGAATATAAACAAACTCAAACACACACACACACACACAATCAAATATACAGTCGGATCGCATCCTAGTCGGGTGGCCGAGTCTGACTAACCGCTGTGACAGTCACCTCAGGGCAGGGGGAGGAGCTTTGGCATATCATGTGACCAAGTAGCCATGGAAACTCCATAGGGAGACAGCAACTGAGGAAAAGAAGGGGGGACAGTGTTTTAAAAATAAAATTAGATTTTATGCCTACTTAAGATCAGTGAAGCATACAGATACACACGGGCTGTTATAGGCCTGAGCGCATTGTACAGATGGATAATGAGCTCTGGGACCATCCAATGAGTGTTCTACTAATTTCAACACAGATTATTTCATAAAACACTAATTGCAGTTTGCAAGAACATCTGGGAGTTGAAAATGTTCTTCCAGTGATGTACAGGATCCAAAAGGGGGGTTTCATAGAGATATACTAGAATAACCATTTTTGGTTCCTCAAATAACCTTTTTCTTATAAAGATCCTTTTGTGCAATGGTACATGAATGTTAGAAGTTCTTCATCAAACCATCAATGCCAATAAGGAAAAGACACTTGTGTTGAAAATGGTCGGAAAGACATTTGTGTTCCTTTTATAGACTTATTTAGATCCCTTACATATAGTATGCATTCATCAGGTTATCTGGTTAACGCTAAATCACTGTTGTTAAACCAGTCTGACATCTTGAAAGAAGTGACTGTTATTTCTGTGAGGGAACATGGGATATTTTTATTCCCACCACATACTGGGAATCATTGGAATGAAGCATGGCATGAATGCAGCGGTTGGGGGATGGAAAGGTTGGCAGCATTTTTATGCGTGTGTCTATATATATATGTCTGTGTGTGTGTGTGTGTGTGTGTGTGTGTGTGTGTGTGTGTGTGTGTGTGTGTGTGT